CACAGCAGCAGCAGCAGCAGCATCCCATGAGGGCAGGTTTTTTGCTGGGTGGTCCTGTGGCTCTACTAGCCCCTCTCCCTGAAGCATTTCTCAGGCCAGCAGTGTTTGATTTGCCCCTACCAGGTGGTATTTTCATACTCACACGAGTCCACGCCTGAGACTCAGCCCACCACGCACCCCCCCCGCAGATATGTGCCAGGGAAGCCCCATCCCTGCCCCAGCAGCATTGAGAACCCCCACACGCTTGGGACTGCAGCCCCCCATTCCCTGGAGCCCCACAAAATGGACACCCCCAGGAGAGCCCTGGGGTGAGCCCCCTGTGCAAGACCCCCGGTCTGTGCAAGACCCCCGGTGGCCTCCAGCCCTCAAGCAGGCGTGGGATCCCTCCCCAGAGCTGGAGCAACTCCATTGGCCTTTACCACTTCCAAATAAATCCCTGCAAGCATGGCTGGCACCTTTGTTATTGGGCACCACTCCTGCCTGCCCTCCTGCCTGCCCCCTGTCTGCACCAGCCAAACTTGCTCCTGGCACAGGAGCAGGAGCTAGAGAGATCCCTTGGCAGGAGCAGCCCCCCAAGCGCTATCCCAGCATGAGGCCACCCTGTCAGTGGTTTGGAATCAGCATCCCCCTGGGCAGTGGGGACCGAGGGGCTGAGGGAGCCCAGTGACCCACTGCAACAGAGTGGGGACCCCCAGGCAGAGCCCAGCTCTGTGGTCCCTTCCTCAAGGCCGGGAGGATGCCAGGGCAGTTTTCATGGTCTGTCCCTCACCCGGGGATCGCTCCTGGCGCTGTGGGAAGGGCTCAGCTCAGGATGCGGGAAGGAGTAAGGGGCCCAGGCACCCACAGCCCCCTCCCACCCCTGCGGGCCCCAGGAGCTGTGCCACCTCCACCGTCAGCGCTGGCCTTGGGGCAGCTGCCACAGGCAGGAGCACCAGCCCTGTGTGCCTCCCAGCGGCCTTGGGCAGGAGCCAGGAGCTCCTGTTTGGAGCAGAGCCAATGGCAGCAGCACTCTGAGACTACCACCAGCTCCGTGTCACTCACAAGGACCAGGCCCCCCACCCACGGGGACCGAGAGCCCTGCAGGGGTGAACAGGGAGGGGCAGTCCCCAGGCCAGCCTGCGGGTGCCCTTGGATCTGCCCCTTCCTGGGGACCCTTGAGCCCCCCGTGGTGGGTTCAGGGGCACCTGTGACCCCAGTGGGACAAGGCTTTGGGGACCTCAGCTCAGCTCCTGGACAAGGAACACAGGAAGGGCAAGAGGTGGCCATGGGACACTTTATTGCTGTGCAGGGCACAGAGAGGGGAGAGGGGATGAGGGGCACCCCTGCCAGCCTTGAGCCCGCAGAGATGCTTTGGGATGCAGGAAGAGAGTGGCAGCGACCCCGTCCCTGCTGGACCCGAGCTGGCCTGGCTGTCCTGCTGCTGGACCCCCCCTGCCCTGAGCACCCCAGGGGTTGTGTCGGTCTCACAGGGAGCTGCTGTGGCAGGTGGCATCCCCGGCAGCCCCCTGGGACCCCCGCGCCCCCAGGACCCCCCGCTTGGGTGGCAAGGAGGAGGCTGAGCAGCGGAAGGAGCCGGTGGCTGGAGAGGGGGGCTGGGTCGGGGGGCTGTGCCCACAGGGGCAGCCCCAGCCTCCCCGGAGGGGGATGGTGAAGAGCCCGTAGGTGATGGGGTCCAGGCACGCGTTGAAGAGGCCAAAGATGAAGAGGATGTGTGTGAGGGCAGACGAGACCCTTTTCTCCACAGCGTGGGGACAGAACCAGTGCCAGAGCCCCAGCAGGTAGTAGGGTGTCCAGCAGAGGATGAAGGAGGAGACGATGACCAGGCTCATCCGCAGCATCCGCAGCCGGGCCCGTGGGATGTTGTTCCTGGAGCACCGCAGGGACGCGTCCCGTGAGGAGACTGGGGGGGCACAGCCTGTGAGGGGGAAATGTGGCTGGGACAGGGACCCCATGCCCTGGGAGAGGGTGGGGGTATCCCTACAGAGCCCCAACCAGTGCTTCCCCGGGCATGGGTCCGCATCCTGTGGTGCCCAGAACTCACAAAGGCCGGAGCCCATCCGGCGGGAGATCTCCAGCAAGATGCGGATGTAGCAGCAGACCATGATGAGCAGCGGCAGCAGGAAGAGGCAGGCGAAGCCCACCATGTTGTAGAGGGTCTCATGCCAGGGCTGGGGGAAGCTGCCACGTGTGGTGCACTGGGTGAAGTTGTGTGGGGGGTGCAGGGTGACTGTGCGGAACAGGAACAGCTGGAGACGAGAGAGGTGGGACGGGGATGATGGGGGTCTGCACCTCCCCAAGGAAGGGCATCAGAGGCCAAAGCTGGGACCCCAGAACCTGAGGGACAGACTCAGCCCGTGGGGTGGGACCCACCATCACCCTTGCACTGGCTCTGCTCCCCACTGCTGGTGGTCCAGAGGGCACCCCAGGGAGTGGGCAGACTTGGGGAGTCACTGCCACAGCCCCTCTATCGACACCCCTACATCCCCATTGCAGAGAGCTCTCCAACCCCTCTCCATTCCCCTCCCACAGGCTCTCCAGCCCCTCTCTATCCCCACCCAGCAGGTCACGCAGTGGCACCGAGGCGCTGACCTTGGCTGGTGTCGCCAGACCCCCGGGAGGCAGCACAGGGGCTGGGAACCCCGGGGTGGGTACCTGCGGCACTGCCAGCCCCGCGCTGAGGACCCAGGCGACGTGCAGCATGGCGCGGTTGCGGGCGCGGGCGCGGGCGATGGCCAGCGGGCGCAGGATGGCAGCCTGCCGGTCCAGGCTGATGACCACGGTGACGAAGGCGGAGGCGTACATGGCCAGCAGCCGCAGGTACATGAGCAGGCGGCAGGCCAGGTCGCCTGCCCGCCACTGCAGCGTGATGTTCCAGATGGCGTCCAGCGGCATCACCGCCACCGTCACCAGCAGGTCGGCGGCAGCCAGGTGCCGCAGCAGCAGGCGGATATGGGGCCGCCGGCTGCCCCCCCGGCCCCCCGCCGCCCGCAGCACGGCCAGGTTGCAGCCGGCAGAGAGGGCAAAGAGGGCGAAGGTGACGGCCACGCGCACCTGGGCGGCGGGGGAGAAGGTGGGCAGGCGCAGGGGCTCCTCGCTGCTCTCGTCAGGGGGGCTCCAGGCACAGCCCCGCTCGGAGGGCGCGATGCCAGGGGGCTCTGCGCTGGCATTTCCCACTGTGGCGTCTGGGTCTGCGTGGCCCCTTCCTGCCACAACAGCAAAGGGGCGGCGGCAGCCCTGAGGTGGGAGCTCCAAGGGGACAGGTCCTGTCCCCCAAAGCCCCTGACAAAGGGCCACAGTGCCAGCACCACATTTCTGAGCCCAGCTCCATGTGCGCAATCCGTAGCTGCTCACTGCATCCTGCTGCTCTTCCAGAGGCCCCCCACATGTCCAGAGTACAGGGGTCCCTGGCACCAAGCAGTGCAGAATGAGACAGCCGCAGCTGAACCCAACACACCACCCACCCTGGGCCATTCCTGCTGTCCCCCCATCCCCTGCCCAGAGTACAGTCTTGCCTAGGATGAAGACCCCTGGGCCCCATGCTGACCCCTGGGGGACCAGACATGCCATTCCCCCCACCTCACCTCCATCTGGGGTGTCCCGTCCGGCATCCCCCAGCCAGGCCATGGCAGGACCAGTGCTCATGCACTGTTGGGGCTCTGCACCAAAGGCTCCCACATCTGCCCTGGGGCCCGAGGGGGAGCAGGGTGGGCACCAGAGCAGGTACTGGGGCAGGTACTGCCGAGCGCTGGCGCCTGCAGCTTCTGCCACAGGTGCCGTGGGGTGGGTGCCCTTGGCAGCTCGAAATGGTCCTTGACGAAGCCGGCAGCCTGGAACAGCACGGTCCTTCCCCTGCCGCCCACGGTACACGGACGTGTAAGTGTGCACGGTGCTCACACACAGGGACAGACAGCAGGACCTGCCCCACATCTGTGGGAGGGAGACCCCCAGCCCAGGGGGGAACCTGCTCCAGACCCCAGTCTGAGGGGTGCTGCTGGTGCCCCCCAGGTCTGGCACTGCTGCTGCCAGGGCCGGGCATCAGGGTGCACAAGGGTTCCTCGTGTTGAGGTGCAGCATTTGGGGATGGCCCAGGGGCCCAGACACCCACAGGTCCCTCCTCCCAGCCCTGCCACTGCCAGCTGCTCCCCCCTGCTGTGGCCATCCCCATGGCTGGAGCATGTCCCAAAGTCCCTTCAGCCCTGGCTGGAGCATGGTGGGGGGGGATATGCAGCCTGGGAGAGGGTGGCAGGCCTGCTTTGCACCTCAAAGGCTTGCCCCTGCACCCCCCTCCCCTTGGCAGAGGTATTTAACTTCATTATCAAGTCCTTTCACACTCCATGGGGCTCGTTAATACTCTGTCCCCCACCCCAGACCTCGGCGTGGGGGGAGAGACCCCCCCTGACACATTAGCACCCAGCTGCCAGGTCCCACCACCCTCCTGCTAATGGGGACCCCAGACCTCGGGTAGCCATCGAGGGGCTGGGGACAGAGGGGCCCTGTTGCAGCCCCCCACATTCCCCCACACCAAGCTGGACCCCAAATCCCCCCATTTTACTCTGTGATGGAGGGCTCCCACAGGCCAAGAACCACCAGCTGGGAGGGCTGGATCTAGAGGGTGTCGGGGACCCTCACCCCTCCCTGGCCAGGGGTCAGACCCCAGGGCAGGGTGGGTCTGTCTTGATACTCCCCCCCGATTGCTCTCCCAGATGGTGCCTGGCTGCCCCACCGCCACCAGCCCTGCAGCCCAGCGAGGGCACCCTGGGCACACCAAACCCCATCCCATGCCCAGCTCCAGGGAACATCCACACAGACACACACGGGTAGGGCACAAAGATTTATTCACATCCAGCCGTGGCTGCCCGGCGTGTCCAGTACAGCTCCGGCTCCAGCGTGGGCAGCTTGTCCCCGCGGCTGTCCGAGGGGTCACACGTGTCCTCCAAGCTGCCGGTGTCCGGACGGGCGTTGTGGGGCAGCGGGTGCTCCATCCTCAAGGTGTGTCCAGGTCAGTGTCGGGGCTGTGGCGGGAGCAGAGCCTCCAGCAGCGAGAGCAGGTCTGCAGAGAGGTCCTGGGGAGCAGATGGGGAGAGGGTGAATGGCCAGGCAGGGGGCCAGGCAGGGCTAGAGGTGTAGGGGTGACAGCCCACCCCCTGGAAGGCCTCCCTGCCAGGGACAAGTAGGACCACAACCTCCGGTCTGTCTCGACCGATGGGACCCCACAAACGTAAGGGAGGGAAGCACAAGGAAGGATGGGGCAGGCTGGGGGACCCACTTAACCTGCCGCAGGGAGCAGGAGTCACCTCTCTGTTCCCTACCCCAGGCAAGGCTGTTGTTACCCCAAAACCAACTCCTGCACTGCCTCACACCAAGAGGAATCTAAGGCCACCCCAAGGGGTGTCCATCTCTGCCACGTACCAGCCCCATTCCCAGAGTCACCCCAGCCCCCACCAGCACATACCTGGGTGACTGTCCCTGCGCCCACGAACTCCGGCAGCACCAGCCCTGAGTCCAGGAGTGGATCACCAGGTAGATCCGGGGGGGCTCCAGCCCCTGCGCGGTGGGGAGGGGTCAGCCAGGGGGACTCGATGGAGGCAACAGCCCCGTGCAACTCCGGGGAGGTCCCCACTGCAGGGATGTAGGGGGGCGACCCCCAGGTATCCATCGCGATGTAAGACACCCCGAGCACCTCTGGGGGAGTCCCTGTTGCTGGGGTGTAGGGAGGCGACCCCCAGGTCTCCGTCCCTATGCTGGGACCCTCAAATATCTCTGGGAGGGTCCCTGTCACAGGGATATAGGGGGGTGACCCCCAGGTCTCTAATCCTGTATCCGGACCCCCAAACACCCCTGGGGGAGTCCCCGCAGCAGAGCCAAGAGGGGGCGACCCCCAGGGCTCCGTCCCCGTGCCGGGAGCCCCGTGCAGCTCCGGCGGGGGGCCCGCCATGGGAGGTGACCCCCAGCCCACAGTGCTGGGGGATGAAGCATCGCGGGGGTCCGTGTCCTGGCAGCACCCCAGGCCCCGGGGGCAGAGGGGGCAATGTCGGGGGGCCGGCGCCCCCCGCCCGAGTCCCAGCAGGGTGGAGAGGTGGGCGATGTAGCGGGTGGCGAGGCGCAGGGTCTCGATCTTGGTGAGGGTCTGCCCGGCGGGCGCCAGCGCGGGCGGCAGGTAGTGCCGCAGCCGCAGCAGGGCCTGCGCCAGCCGCCGCATCCGCAGCTTCTCCCGCTCGCTGGCGCTCTGCCGCGGGGCCCCCGGCCCCCCGCCGCCCCGAGCCCCCTTCCTGCCCCGCGGGCGGGGGGCGGCGTGCCCACGGCAGGGTCCCCGGGCGGCGGCGGGGGACGCGAGGCCGCAGGAGTCGGGCGATGCTGCGGGCGAGCTGCTGCTGTAGCCCAGGGTGTCCGGGGGTCCGCGGCAGCCCCAGTCCTGCAGCGGGGCCGTAGCGGGCAGCGTGTGGCCGGGCGCTGCGGAGTGGGCCATGGCGGGGCCGGGAGCTGTGTGCCGGTGGCTCCCGGCCGCCCCGGCTTTATGCCGGGCCAGAGGTGTGAAGTGGCACCTTCGTGGCTGCAGCACTTCAAAGGCCGGGGGACTGGGGGAGCCGGGGGGCCGAGGGACGCGGCTGTGAACGCGGGGTGACAAATTTCACCCCGGAGGTGTGAGGCCGCTCGGTGCTGCCCACCCTTGGCACCCTGCACCCCTGGCGCTGGGCTGGGGATGGGGCTGGGACCCACGCGGGTCCTGCAGTGTGGTTCTGCACGAGGGCCACAGTGGGGCTGCAGCAGGGTGTCAGTGGGTCTGCTGGGAGCAGCTGCAGTGGGGCGGCAGCAGGACCTGCAGTGGGGGTGCAGTGGGGTATTCTGGGGCTCTGCTGTGGGGCTCTGCTGGGACTGCGATGGGGTTTGCAGTGGCTCTGCAGTGGGGTGTCCCTGTGTCCCCCCACAGCATGACCCCAGCCGAGCATCCCTGCTGTCCCCGTGGCTTTGTGGGACTCCCCTGCACTTGCGTTGGGGGTCCTGGTCCACCACGGCCCCCACGAGCCAGGACCCCGCGGGGCTGCCCGGTGCTGGCAGTGGCAGGGGAACCCCCACGGGCGGCGAGGGCCGAGGGCCGGGGTCGGGGCTGGGAGGGGCCCCCCCGCCGCGTTCCCAGGCCCCACAGGTGTCGCGGCCGGCGGGTGCGAATGTTTCCCGGGAAACGGCCCCATCGAGGGACGGAAAATCCATCAGGGGGCGAGGGAACACCGGCACGGCACGGGACCCCAGAGCGGGTGTGCACTGCCTGGCGGTACAGATGGGGACACAGGACCCCCAGACCCGGTGTGGGTTCAGTCGGGGGTTCGGCGGGGGCAGGAGACACCCACCCCCCAAACCGGGGGGACACAGCTGAGGAGTGCCCAGCGCTGCCCCAGTGCGGTGTGAGACAGCCCGTGCCGACCCCATCCGACCCCCGTCCCGGGGGTCCGGAGCAGCCTGACCCTGGAGCGTGGAAGGGGCTCTGGAGGAGCTCCGCACCCCACGGCGCAGCCTTGGCACGGCCCCTTCCCGCTACCCGGCCTCGCTTTCCCCCGCGCCCCCCCCGGCCCCCTCCTGGGTCTCATTAGCTGATGAGCTCCCAGATAATGAGTTCTGCACCCGCCGCAGCCGCTTCCCACCTCCTTGTTTGGACAAGTGCTGCAGCGCGGCTGGGCGGGGGCAGCGTCGGCCGTGGGGTCAGAGCCCCCGAGGGACACTCCGCAGCCCCTTGCCCTGTGGGGCAGGCGGGTTCTCCACGTCCCTCCAGTCCGTATCAATGGAGCGGCGCGCAGGGCTATTGGGGCAACGTGGCGAGGGCACCGGGACTGAGCTCGGTCAGCGCCCAGCTTGGACTGCACCCTCAGGGGCCCCCAGCCACCCTGCTGAGGGATACCCAGCCCTTCTGGGACCCTCCCAGGACATGTCACTGCCCTCCTGGGACCCGCCATCCCGGCTCCAACACCTCCCGGGTCAGGCACTTGTGTGGCTCCCGGTGGCCACGCTTGTCCCTCCACCTGGGATGGAAACACCTGGCACTGACAGTGCCCAGGGCCGTGCCCGGCACGGGGGTCAGTGCTGCACAGCACCCAGCAAATAGTCCCCTCCACCCCGCTGCGCCCCCCAGCCCACCTGCACGGGGGGAAGGGGGGCACTGCTTCCAGCACCCTCAAGAGCTTGGCACCCCCCGCGGTGCCCCCGCTGCTTCAGGGACCCCGACCCGGAGCAGCACAAGGACCCCCAGCTCCAAGCAGGGGGCACAGCCCTGTGGGTCCCTGGGTGCCTCAGCTTCTCTGGAGACGTCTGGGGCTGCATCCCATGGGACTGGGGAGACAGAAGCAGAATGGCAGAGCGGGGATGTCTCTGAGAAGCGAGCACCCCGGCCCCTCCACCCAAACACCGTGCACTCCTCACACCCCCTGCCCCTTCGGGCCCTCCGTCCAAGCCAGAGCCCACCCAATACCTCCGGACCCGGGGCTGGGAGCTGGGCAGAGGGCAGGGAGCTGTGGGGACCCCGCTGGGTGCTAGGGCTGGTGGCTTGGGGTCCCGGCCCTGGAAGGTCAAGTCCCGGGTACCGGCTGCGGCCGGCGGGGTGACGCGGTGCGGGGTTCCGCGGTGCAATGATGCAGTGCAGTACGGTGCGGGGCTGGCGGCACGTTAGCATCTCTCACGGCCGTGTGAATGGGTCCACACACACTTCCCAGCGCCGGCAGCGCCAATTAAGGACCAAAGGAGTCAGATCTGACACTTCTGCAAATGGGCCCGGCATTCCCAGGCTCCCGCCGCAGCCCGCCCGGCGCGGGGGGTGGGGGGCTCGACACCTCCCTGTGGGCACAGAGGCATCGCCCCTACCCCCGACCCAAATAAGGCCGGGCGCCCGCCGGGCAGACCCTCACCAAGATCGAGACCCTGCGCCTCGCCACCCACTACATTGCTCACCCCTCCACCCTGCTGGGACTCAGCCGGGTGGCACTGGCCCCCCGACACTGCCCCCTCTGCCCCCGGGGCCTGGGGTGCTGCCAGGGCACTGCCCCCCGCGATGCTTCATCCCCCAGCATGGGGACAGAGCCCTGGGGGTCGCCCCCCTTTGGCTCTGCTGCGGGGACTCCCCCAGAGGTGTTTGGGGGTCCGGATACAGGGTTAGAGACCTGGGGATTGATTGTCACCCTACATTTCTGCTGCAGAGATGCCCCTAGAGTTGCAGAGGACCCCCAGCCACATCACAGGGTCCTGGTCATCACTGCTGTGCAGCCTTGGAGCAGTGATCCCCCTGGAGCATTGCCAGCAACGTGCCACAGCCATGGGGACCAGGATGGCTTCCTCCTGCTGCTGGGAGCTTCACAGGACAGGACTGATGGACACAGGGCACCCCAGGACCCCTGCGCCTGGCTCCCAGCTGCCTGCACACCACCAGGTACCCACAGCCCCTCCCCAGCCCAGCCCCTGCTACCGCAGCCCTGGGTTGGGGTGGGGGACAGTCCACATGGGGTGCAAGGCAGGGGGCACCGGGTATCCCACAGCCACGCACCTCACACAGCCCTTCCCACACAGCTCAGCAGCCCCTCGGCCCTGGACGGGCTCGTTTCCCCAGCCCCCCCCCCAGCCCTTCTCCTGCCCAACTGCCCCCCAGCACAGCACAGCTGACCCTGTACCCCGGGACAGAGACCACACAGGGAGGGAGGCATGGAAGTGGGACAGTGGCTTGGCCATGTGTCGGTGGCACGGCCGTGCCACGGAGCTCCGCGGGACAGGACAGACACCAGGGTCCTCATTAAAGCTGCCACAAACCACTGCACCCCACCCATTACTGCTGCACCCACTGCCTGCACCTCAGCATGGGCAGGGCTGGGGGCACCCCTCAGCCTGGTACCCCACACACACAGCCAGGTGCTCCCCTGGGCTGGGGGCTCAGTGTCCTCTCCCAGGCCACCCCCAGTCCGGATTTCTCCCAGGGCTGGAGCAGCAGAGGGACCCACCACCCGAGGTGTCTCCAGCCCCACTGAGCTCCCAGCCCCCCGGGGGTCCTGTCCCTTCCCTGTGCCCAAAGACAGCTCCGTTCCTTTGGGGTCTGGGGTAGCCCACGGGGGATAGTCCTTCCTGACTGTCACAGCCACCCCGGTGCCCCCTGCCCTGACCCCACAGCACCTGCCCAGAGCGGGGGACAGGCAGAGGGGTCCCAGCGCCAGCTGGGGGGGAGTGGGCACGCAGCCCCCCGAGCGGGGCCCGGCAGGAGAGCTCACACACAGCCGTCAGACGGGGGGCCCGGGGGCTGGCGTCAGTGAAGCCCCCAGAGCCACTTAGCACTAGGCTCCTAACGGCCCGGGGGGCTTATGGCCCCGTGTCTGCCGCAGGGTCCCTGGCACTTCCTGCCCAGCCCCTCCAAGTCCCTGCAGCGCAGCCCCCCAGCACCCAGTCCAGGAAACTGGACAAGCCTTTTATTTACACACTCCCACAGCTGCACCAGCACAACATCCCTCCCGCCCTGAGCCCTCCATGACCCTACTGCCCATTAACCAGGCGTCAGGCCCCCCACTGGCGGGGGGGGACTGGGGCACAGGGGGCTCAGTGCCACGATGAACAGAGGTGGGAGTGGGCGAGGGTCTGTCCCGGTGGCAGGGGGAGGGCAGGCATCGTTATCTGGTCTCGCCCTGGAACCAGCTCAGCACTGTTGCCCGGTTCTCCTTCACCCAGTCGATGTTGGTGCGGGTCCGCTCCAGCGCCTGCTCCAGCGCCCGCGTCCCCGACCCAAACCCGATGTCCTGGTTGTCTGCCTTGAACTGCTCCAGCTGCCAGGCAGAGAAGGGGCTGGAGCAGGGTGGGGGCAGGCCTGGCAGCCCCTGGCAGACCCCAGCAGCCCCTGGTAGCCCCCAGGACCCCCTGGCAGCCCCCGGCACCACCCCAACACCACCCCAACACCACCCCACCAGGAGCACCCCAATAGCCCCTGACAACCCCTGTGAGCACCCCAGCACCACCCCAGCAGCTCTCAGCAGCTCCCTGGCAGAACCCCAACAGCCCTTAGGAGCAGCCCGACAGCACCCAGCACCACCCCAGAAGCCCCCAACACTACTCAACATCATCCTGAGGGCCCCAGTAGCATCCTGACAGCCCTTGGGAGGCCCCCAGCACCACCTCAGCAGCCTCCAGGAGCACTCCAGCAGCCCCCATGGCACTTCAGGAGCACTTCAACAACCCTTGGGAGGCCCCAGCACCACCCTAGCAGCCTTCTAGCAGCCCCATGGCAGGGACAGAAGCTGCCTGGAGCCCTGGGCACACGAGGGGCAGGAATCCCCCTCTCTGCTGGGGCTGGGGTCCCCATGCCCAGGGTTCCCCCGCCAGGGTCCAGCCTTACCTGCTGCAGCTCAAACTCGGAGGAAAAACGCTGGGTCACAGATAAAATCAGGCGGGAGAAGGAGAAGGAGCCACCCCCGTACCTGGGAAAGCAGAGGGGTGCTGAGTTGGGGGTCCCGC